CTTCCTCTGCACCAGATCCCCTTGCCGCCTGCTGCGCCGAACACACGTTGCTTGCACGCCTGCACTCTGTGCCAGCATCATGACCTTGCACCACTGCTACTCTGCCTCTGCACGCTACAGCAGCTTCAGACAAATTAGCATTATTATTGATTGACAGAGCAAGGCTTTTTTATTATTTTATCTTTATTTTTATCTTTTATTCGGGGATATATATATGGAAAAAAAAATCAGAAGGGGGAGGGGGTTGGTTAGTTTTTGAAGTTTGATAGAGAGGAGAGGTCGGTATTGATTTTGGGGGGTTGATTTCGGGTCTGTTGCTGGGAGATTGGTTGTGGTTGATCTGGGGGGTTTTTCTGGTTGATTTTCGGAGCTGGAAGGGGATTTCTTCTGGTATTGAGTGTGGCCGGTTCTGATTTTTGAGTTTGATTTGGGAGTCATTGTTCTGGGTTTCGGGGGAAAGGAGAGAGAAGAAAACCGAGCTGATTCCGGCGATATTTCAGTCTCCTTTTGCTAGGTATTTTCCTGCAACAGAGGAGTCTTTTTGGGGAGGCAGTGAGGGGAATGATCTAGGCTTGATCTCGTGGGTGGGATCCGCCAGATCGGACTCCGATCTGTTACCCAGAAAACTCCGCCGTGTTTGTTTCTTTTGTCTTCCTGTTTCCGTGACATGCTTTTGTGATTACGTTTGTATATGTTTACTGAAAATCAATGAAAGATAAAAAAAATGTTCAATTTAATTGTGTTTCCCTTTCTTTCTGTTAATGAATGTTTCATTTTATTTTATTTTTATTTGGAATGAATGTGTTTTTCTTTAAAACAAAAAAAAAAAAGGGTAGAAAGGAGATGAAGCAGACTTGTTCTGTTTAGTGTTTGATCTGTTTTGCCTATTATAGGTTGATGGGTTGTGTTTTTGTGGGTCGAGTCAACCCGACCCAATCTAACAAAAAAAAAAAAACTAAAAAGGTTAAAAAGTAAAAAATACATATTTTATTGATTAATTAGGAGAGTTAGTTTAATTTATGATTAATGAAGTTAATTAATTTTAATTAAAATAAATTAATCATATTTATTGCATTTGATTTGAGATAATTAGTTAATTTATTATCTCAAGTTAATGATTAGTAAATGTGATTAATTAATTTTAATTAATTTTAATTAATGTTAAATTAATTATTTAATTAAACTAATCATCTTGATTAATTAATTTTAATTCTCAATTAATTTTAATTTTGGTCAAAGTCAAAGATATCTTTCATTTTATCTCAATTTCATCCAGAGCTTTTGTAATTAAGCAATTCAGTCCATGGGTTTTAACTCTTTTCAAATTAGTCCTTTATGTTTTGAATTTAACCAAATCAGTCCTTCATGTTTCAAATTTAGTCAAATTAGTCCCTTTAATTTTTATTTGTGTTTATTGTGCATGCATGTTCTTGATTTTGTCTATTTCAGTCCAAAAATAAAAAAAATGTTTTGATTTGGTTTATCTCTTTTTTTAAGTTTGCTTATTAAGACTCAAACATAAATGTAATAAATAAGTTGAATTAAAACCCCTAATGTTAAAGTATGCAACCGTGTTTAAACGGAGGATTGTGAGGTGCGCATATGCCCTTCCTCACTCCTAACCGAACCCCCGAACCCTGATTTCTGCGCAGACTCATTTTAGGTGACTTGTCCCACCTTATAATTTGGACGAGTGGCGACTCCCTTTTTCTTATATATTTCACACTTGATTTTTTTTCATTTATTTTGAAAAAAATCTTAAGTGGTCATCAACAGTAGTAATAAAGGAATAATTCAATGAAAATTAAATTGAATGCACCCCACAAATGTGGGATGAGTGTGCTTAATTAAGATTGTCTAAGGAGAGAGATTAGTCTAGAAAATGTAGTAATGGAGTGACTTTTTATAAAGGAAAAAGGAAAAATCATGACATCAAGTTATTGAAAATGTTAAGATATTTAATCATAATTATTAATATATAAGACATGATGTGGATTATAATTTTATTAAATTTTTTTATGAGCTATTAATGCAAGTTTTGATTTTTACTTTTTTATTTCATGAATTTGGTTTATTTACATTTACACTTCAAAAAAATGTTTTATAAGATAAATTAGTTTTATTAAAAATATTTTAATAAATTTATAAGTTCAATTACATTTTTAATATTCAATTCAATCGATCAGGGATGAGTCCTTCTACTCTTTATTATGGGGTCTATCATTTACGGGTGGTAGTTAGATATTCACTGTTCTGGCCTCTTTGGCACGGTAGGAGTGCCCTCAAGCATGCAGTGGCTGTTATATACGCAAGTCTCAAGTCAATTCCCCAAATAAGTTATTTACTTTTTCATGTTATAACTCGGTTTCTGTACCGTTGGATAAAGCCCTCTTCTTGTATTTGCAAAGTGGACATGGATTTGTTGTGAGAAAGGAAAGGAAGCTAAGTAACGGTCAAATACCAATACTAATCAAAGTCCTGGTAAGACCCCACAAAAAATTAATGACCCAGACAAAAATTTAATGAATGGACTTTGAAGGGAACTTTGGTGGCCATTTTGCTGACTTGTGGTCATTTTTACAAAGTTGCACCGGCCTATTGTAGTTGGTGGTATTGCAGAGTAGCTTCTGCATGTTTGCTACATTTTTCTTGTGAAGGGCTAAAGTATACATTTAATTCCTAAACTTATTAAGTTTGAAGCTTTTAATCCCTTCATCTTATGTTTGAAGTTTCTAGTCCTTGAACTTAAAGGTTTAAAAATTTTAACTCTTAAATTGATGGAATTCGTTAACTCTTAGTTAAGGTGAGAATAAAATATTTACATAATTAGTTCTTAAAGATTAAAAATGAAATAATTTAGTCTTAAAAGATTAAAAATTAAAAAAAAATAGTAAATTAGAAATAATTAATGAATGACTTTGTTACATACACAAGAATAGTATTAGATATCTATAATCAAATTGAGCAATTAGCTCAATCTGAAGAAATAAATCTAATTGTTGAGGGACAAATTTGTATTGTTTTGAAATTGACAACATTTGCAATGCCACATAAGCAAGACTAGCTTTGACTGGCTTTAGACTTGTGACTAAGAAGGACCCACATTGTTTATTTCCACATCAGATCTATTATATACTATTTTCTGCTGATTACTACAACAAAGTCACTATCGCAAGAAGCAGCATTCATCCATTTCGTTTGAAATACTATAGACACGAACTACTTCAATATCACTCTCATATACATGGCCAGACTTGACTGTATCTATCTCCACAACATGGCTACGCAGTTTTGATGGTCATGTTCTCTACAACGATATTCACTACTACATCTTTTGGCTCCCAACAATAGACAAAGAGCCTATCTTGCTATAAATACATAGCTCTCATCAAAGGACAATGAGTTGATCAGTAAAGCTCCCAACGATGGATAATGGGCTATATCTACACAGCTCCCAGTGATGGATAAAGGACTAGATTTGCTATCTCACTTAACCTCCAATGATGGGCAAAATGCTACATATTTCTACATATTTTCATTGCACCAGTTCCCAGAAACAGACAAAGGGTGAGATCTGTTCATATTTTATCTCACTAGCTTTCGGAAATGGACAAAGAGTCAACATAACTTGGTACGATTAGCATGAGGCCACTAATAGTTGCAACCTTGCGATTGGATGGGATGGCTACTCTTCATCAATAAAAATTCATCAAGTTGCGGCTGACAGTCCTTTATTGGTTGCTTGTGCATGGTGGTGCGGTGCTTAATGGGCAACAATAACCAAGACCACCCTTTGACGGTGAGGGTATGGCAAGAAGGACCAATGTTTGTTAGTGATATCACACTTTGTTATATTGGAGGCCATGGATGCGATTGGCGTCCCCCTTCTATGGAGATAACTCCACCTATGTTTATCACATATTCATTGCTATGGTAGAGTCTGGCTTCATAAGATTTATCCCTTTCATGACTTAGCAAATTAGT